CAAGGAACTCCATACCAATGTGATAATGCCACTGGCACTTTGCAACATTGCATAGCTAATTTTAATTCCAGTACATACCCTTTGGCTTCTCATCCACTCCTTATTTGCTCACCAGTCTGATGGCAACTCAAATGGTTACACTACAACAAAATGACCTACCCATACAACTTACTATCTGTTCATATAAACCAGACCTTTCAACTGCTTGAGTCTGGGAATGGACTTCATTTATTTTCAAAGCTGAGTTCCTTTGTGCTATCTCAGGATTGGCTCCAGCTCTGGATATTTTAGAAATGTTTCCAGTTCTAGTCCGGTTGCCCAATGAAACAATTTGTACATCTTTCAGGCACTCATGTATCAGCCCTCCAAGGACTACAATTACATTATATGGCAGTGAACACATATGGAAATAGTTCTATGGTGGGGATGTATCTTCATACTCTACACACTTTCCTGATTATTAGTGGAATTTCTAGAGTCAGGAAACTCGTAATTTTCTGAATGAGTGAGGAAGCTCAGATATGCTGGTCCCATTTAATTCAAGGTAAAGGGTTGCAAGCAGTTCAAAAAGTGGTTTTCTGTCTATTCTTATTTATCCCTTGCCATTCACATGAAAGACAATAATAAGACCTCTGTGACATACTGGCACTTCCCCGCTGGAATAAGTAAGCACAAATTGATAATCCTCAATAAAACAAAGAAAATTCTCCTTTTGCTAGAGCAGAATCTAGTTTTGTTGATTATTTATTGCTTATACTGCTTAATTTACAGTAGTGCCCACTGTGTGCTGGATATTTTACTAAGGCCTGACACCCTCATAATAATTTCTGCTCTGAAGAGCTCAGTATTTGAGGCATTTAATGATTAAAACTACCTACATTTGAGCAAAGGAGGCACCTCAATATCAAATTACTAAGCAGACATCAATGGAATGCACTAGCATGAGAACTAAATTATTGAGTCCTTAAGCAGTTCACAAAACTGCAATGGCGAGGGACTCCTACATAGATCAGTTCAGAATTGTCGAGCCTCCTGGATCACGGTATTCTATTCCAGAATCTTCTCAAGCATGCAAACGGCTACAGCATCTGAGGCACTTGGCCTAAAGTCTGGGAAGTTTTGCTTTTTAGAGCATGAAATCCAGGAAAGCATCACAGACTTCCTGATGAGATCTAGAAATTGTCCAGAAATACAAGAATCTGCAGGGATTCTGAGAACCTGATCTTCATGATGTATTGAATCCCATTTTGTCTCACAATCAGGATTATATTAGAATTCCTTCTAAATGGGCCCTTGATTGGATCTGAGTCCTAGCTTCTTAACAGTGTGAACTTAGTGTTAAGTCCTTAATAGCACATTTCTTCTACTTGTAGCCCTTTTTTGCAGAATGTTCATATTTTTCCAATTCCTTAAATGCTGTTTCTCTGAAAAGTTGCAAATAGGAGAATGATTAGATGCATCAGGTAATCTCTAAATCTTTTTTTGTTTCATGTATTGAGGAGTCCTCTTTGTATTTTCTAATAAAATGTTCTTCCTATTAACAATGACAATGATCAGGAGAGTAAATAAATTTGGGGGCCTTATCCATCTGAAATATTTATGGATGCCTTTTTTCCCGGATGAGATGATTCTCAATGTGCATCATAATTTCATGTACCCCCTAATTATGTCTTTCATTTGATCTGGGCTATTTGACTTTCTTTTGTCTAAGCCTTTCCATAGCAAAGAGAATGTGCATTTTAGATGTGCTGGGACATTCAAATTCTGTTCATGCAAAGCTAATCTTTGAAAAATTGGATGCAATGTTAGGATTGGAACGATAACTTTAAAAATGGGCACCCAGCATCCACAATCACAGTTTCCTGATATTTACATTCAGGTGTTTGTCAATCCTACAAATGGGTCATAAAAAGATCCCCTTCCTTCTTTGAAGGTTCACTCAGTCAAGTACCGGTACCTACCTGTCCACAAAATGCTTTATATATCACAGTGCTTCATTCAAGTAATTTTGCCATTTGTCTACCTCATCTTTAGTGCATACCTTTATCTGTCACTTTAAAATAGATATGACTTGTGGGCAAAAGGTTCTGTGGTGTTTCTTTTGTTTTTCTTTCTTTATAATCCTTCAGATGGTCAGGAGGGGAAGAAGAATGGCAGTCCTACAATTCCATCATTCAAAGAAGAAAAGCAATAAAACAAACACCCTCAAATAAAAAGATTTTTTTCCTCTTGGTTCAGTTTTCTTGATGAGCTAACTATCTGTCCTGTTTGCAGAGCTTTGTTTTTTACTGCTGGCTGTTTCCCAATTGTAATGGATTATAGAGCAGCAGGTGCCCACCAGGGAGAAAGGGATAATGTATGCAGCTACATGTAATTTCCCATTCTCTGAAGTGGACACATGATACTCCATGAGGCCCCATTCAAAATATCACCTAATTCACATTAGATTCTAGATAATGGGAAATTGCTCAACCCTTCACCAAACATTTCAGTTCAGAGATATGGAAAAATCTTGGCATTCCCTCATATTGTGGTCTTGTTTTGCCACAAATCTTCATTTCTGTTTTCTGGCTAATAAGTAAAGATGTAGATAAAAGATAAGATATCCTGCCTGGAGATATCTAATCATTCATAATGCTTATTAATCATAATTTATAGTTGGTCTTCCCAGCTTGGGCAGTTTGCCAGAGAGACAGAAGCAATCTATTCTCTGAACAGCTCTCCTTGCTGGCACTACAATAATAAAAAGCAACCTCTGTGCTTAGTACAGAAATATAATAATCAAGGTGAATGGATCATAGAGCATCAGGTATCCACTTCAGAAAGGGAAAAGTTATGAGTAGGTTTGAGTATTATAAGTATGAATACATTTTACTCTTTTTTGGGGGGAGGGGGAAGAAAGAGGGTGGGGACGAGCAATGGTCTCAAGTTGTGGTGGGAGACGTCCAGGTTGGATATTAGGAAAAACTATTTCACTAGGAGGGTGGTAAAGCACTGGAATGGGTTCCCTAGGGAAGTAGTGGAGTCTCCATCCCTAGAGGTGTTTTAAGTCTCAGCTTGACAAAGCCCTGGCCGGGTTGATTTAGTTGGAATTGGTCCTGCCTAGAACAGGGGGCTGGACTTGATGACCTTTGAGGTCTCTTCCAGTTCTATGGCTCTATGATTCTATAACCTCTAGCAACATGAATATATATTTAGTAATACAAAATAGCCAAGCCCTTTTTCTGTGTCTGGGGATGAGAATACAGATATGTGATGGGGGAGGGCTAGGTTGGATATTAGGAAAAACTATTTTGCCAGGAGGGTGGTGAAGTACTGGAATGGATTACCTCAGGAAGTGGTAGAATCTCCATCTCTAGAGGTTCTTAAGTCTCAGCTTGACAAAGATTATTTGGGCAGGGGGTTGGACTTGATGGACTCCTGAGGTCTCTTCCAGCCCTAGGATTCTATAATTCTATGATTCTTTGCCCAAACACCTCATGGGAATGATGTTCTGTCCCATCTAGAGGCACCGAGGCCACTTAGAGACACCTTAGCTAAAGGCCACACAGGTTTTTGCCCACCAAAATGAGACATGTAAGGTAAGTGAACAGGAGATTTCTCTCATCAACCCAGCATGGTACAGACACCACAATAAGTCAGCCTAAGATACAATGACTCCAGCTACATCCCTGAACTAATGCAATTTAGGTCAACTTAACCACCTAATGTAAACCAGGTCCTAGGAAAGAGGGGGCTATGATAGACATCTATAAAATCATGACTGGTGTAGAGAGAATAATATGGAAGTATTATTTACCACTTCACATAAAACAAAAACTCCAGATCATCTGATTAAATTAATAGGCATCAAATTTAAAACAAACAAAAATAAGGATTTCTTCACACTATGCACAGTCAACCTGTGGAACTCTTTGCCAGGTGATGTTGAAGGCCAAAAGCACAAACAGGACTCAGAAAAGAATTAGATGCATTCATGGAGGACAGGACCATCAGTGACTATTAGCCAACATGGCCAGGGATGCAACCCCATACTCTGGGCATTCCTAAACCTCCAACTGCCAGAAGCTAAGTGTGAACAACAGGCAATGGATCACTTGAATTTACCCCATTCTATTCATTGCCTCAGAAGCACCTGGCAATGGCTACTATAAGAAGATAGGACTTTTGGCCAGAAGGCCCATTGGTTTGACCCAGTGTGGTAATTCTTATGTCCCCCATCCCTCACACAAACCCCAAACAACCCTTCCAAATGCTCCAACCCAGCAGGAGCAAGTGTGTTGCCAACAGCCCCTCACCCAACTGCAAATCCAACAATAAGAAATCAGTGAGATGGGGGTTGAGAGACAGGGGCCTATATGGTGCTGTACTAGGGGCTTATAGCACTTGCAAGGCTGGGGGGAAGCTCCAAAGGCAGCTTCAGACACATTAGGCAATACGGTAACTGACCTATGAACACCATGACAGGCCCCATCCCTGTTGCATTATAAGCTCCAAAGCAACAGCAAGACGCTTTCTGAAGCAGAAGGTTCTTTTCTAGACCCACTGTTCTGATCTAATAATGGCAGAATCTGGACTGTTCCCCAAAGGAAAGAGCAGGAGTCCCATCCCTTGAATCATTTCTCTCTGAGGTGGCACACGGCCCCCACAGTGGCCCAGTGCCTAGGTGGCATGGCAGGGTCATTATTATTGACATGGCAGCTGAACGTGTGCTGGGCGCTTTAGAGAACCTGTCCCAAGGAGCCCCAAATGGCATGCTGGAAACCCCAACCCCACACATTATCAGCTGCAGAAGAGCTTTAAGAGACCATATATATTATTCAAGAGAAAGCGCCCCCATCTTCAGTCTACAGAAATATACCAATAACAATCAAACGAAAACTGCCCAAGGCCCCAAATGCTCAGCTTCCTCATCCTGCCATGCAATGTCTCATCACTTGCATTTTATGTGTTCCATCCTCCCTCCACTGCCCCTGGCTTCCCCCCTCAGTCCTCCATACCATTTTGCTTCACATCTGCGGATGTGCGCTGCTGCAGGGCCTCAGAAGCTCGGCAAGCGGCTTTCATGATGGCCAATTTCCCCCGTGGTTGGCCTGGAATGAAGATTTCCACCTCTACCTCCACCTCCTCCAGCTCCTGGCCCTGCTTGCCACCCTGTTTGTCCCGTTTACATGGATGTCTAGGGAAGGCACCCTGCAGCAGGCTCTCCATCAGCTTCCGGGCTTCTGCTGCCTCTTCCTTCTTGGGCTGCACTATGACTCCTACCAGGGCAGCTGGGCCTCTGTGGCTAAACTTCTTCACTCCCTTCAAGATCTTCTGGATGTCGGCCTGCTTCCCCCTCAGGGAGGAAGCTCGGCACAGGAAAAAGATGAGCTGGGATGGAATGTTGCTAGCACCAGCTTTGGCCCCTGACTGTGTCTGGGTCATAGCCATCGCTGGGTTGATCCCCGGTTTGTAGGCATCTGGGAACAATTCCTGGATAAAAGCCGCCATCAGAGCCCGGGTGTCCTTTGCTTCCTGAGACTCTCCAACCAGCAGCACCTCTGGCTTCCCCCCAACCTTCTCTATCAGAACTTGGAAATCCTTTAGGATCTGCTCCCCATAGCCAGTGGCAGCAGCAGGGCTGTTCTCTGACACCTGTCCCTCATTGTCCATGTCCTGTTAGCATGAACTCTCCCGCCCTCTGCTTGCCTAATGCTGAAAGAATCACAAATTACACTTTCCTGCTATGTCACAATACACCACCTTGCCTCGCCTCACGTTACCCTGGGGCACAACCCCACTGCATGGCATGGCCCTGGGGTACAGCCCTTTATATTAAAAAGGATTATACATATATTCAGGGGATGATTTAGCACTCAGATGTTATACAAAAACAACTGGCAAGTATCATTACATGTAAAGTGGCACAAAACACATCCGGTTAAAAAGCCACTGCCAACTACATAGAAGAAAGCCCAGCTTTATACCTATGCTGTCAACAAAGAAGTTTAATTCTTCTGCTGATAACATGACTTTTCCTACCAGGTTAGACACCCCTTTAGATGTGTGCAAATTAACTAAAGCCAAATCTGGGATTGTCTGATTTATCCCCGTCACAATCTCATTCTGTAAGAATGAGTTGGTCAAAACAGAGGTAAACCCTACTATACAGGTCTTGTGGGAAAATTTAAATCTCAATACAATTAGAAAGCTGCAAAGAGACATTTCAATTTCATTGTGAATTCTGGGAACAGAACTACACAGTAATTTTTAAAAAATGATATATGTGGAGTCTGGAAAAATCAAGGCTTGCCTCTAGCAATGAAGCTTGTGGAAATATTCCTCCAACCTTGTTCCAACCATCTGAGGCCAGATGAGTGACCTTTAATGTCACTTTCCCAGGCTCTCCATCACCATCTTGAAATCAAACCAACCACTGCCTGAAAGACCATGAACAAAAGTGACGAGAAAAGGGACAGTATTCAGTTAGGAGTTGGTGTTTCTGGCAGTTCCAGAGGCTAGAGGGTTTAACATCCTCATTAATGACTTGGAGAAAAGAGTAAATGCTCCATCAGTTGCATCCTCAGAGAATACTCAATGGGGAGCTGGTGAGATCAGGACACTTCCTACACAAAGGCGATAGCCTGAGTAAACAGGCTCTTGCTCAGCCCAATCCTTCTGGATCCAAGGAACAGAAACCTCACACCCACTTTACAGCAACCGGAATACATCTCCAGAGTGGTCACTACAGATTGAACCTCCCCAATCTGTGGCTCTCTGGTCCAGCAACATCTGTGTTCGGCAGCCGCTCACCCCCGTCCTGCAGCAACAGTGTTCGGCACAGGAAGATGATGAGCTGTCTGGCCAGGAGTACAGGACTGGAGGCCAAGGAGCCAAGTGCGGCCTGGGCGCAGCCCTGCTCTTACCTCTATCCGTTCAGCAGCAGCACCTGCATGCGTGGCACCATGGCCTGGAACTCCCTTAGGCTCAGCAGCACCCACCTGCCCCTGCCACTCTATGGCTGGCCATTGCTGGGCTGGAGTTAGGATGTGTGTGTGGGGGGCGCAAGCTGCTCCTCCCCCCCGCCACATCACAATTGGCCTGCTCCCAGCAGTGCTGCAGCCCCTTCCCTCTTGGTGCACTGCCAAGGCCCCTCAATGCAGGGAAGGCACATCACAACATGGCTAGAACAGTGTGCCCTTGACATTCCCTTCCCGCTTGACCCAACCCGTCCGCAGCAGAGCCATCCCAGTGCTGCAGAGAAGGCACATTTGGGCATGAGCACTGACAAGATTATTAGGTGTGTTAAAAGGGAACATTTTCCACCCTGGGGGTTTTCTGTGGCACCTCATCATGAGGCTGTCTGGAAGGTGGGCTATCAACACGTCAGATGTGTGATGTATTCTGGTCCGAAGGTTGGTAGGGAGTCCAGAAAGTCGGCCAACAACATCACACTTCCCCACTAAGCAAGTATTTAGATCTGGAGCAGTAATTGGAAAGAGTTTTGAAGTGTGTAAGTTTCTAGACCGGCATTCTTGTTATCTGGTATCACCGTTAGACATTGATCTCAGTTATGAGAACCAGCCAGGGGTCCTTTGCTGTCCTTTGCAAAACATTTCTTCTTCAGAATCTCCATGGCTTCTGCCTGAGCAATTGAGCCAAATGCCATCCCTGGCAACTTACATACAAGGATGGGGAGAGGGATCGCTCAGTGGTCTGAGCATTAGCCTGTTAAACTGAGCATAGTGAGCTCAAGCCTTGAGGAGGCCATTTAGCAATGGGGCAAATCTGTCAGGGATGGTGCTTGGTCCTGCCATGAGGGCAGGGGACTGGACTCGCTGACTCTAGAGGTCCCTTCCAGCTCTATGAGATGGTATAAGGATGGCTGCTGCTCCTCCTATATTATAGACTAAAAGATTTGCCCAGCTCCTTAACTCAAATAACTTGTTTTTCTTCATGTGAACAATTGCGCTGGGTGGGCCAGAGGTGAGGGGTTCAGCATGCAGGCTGGCTCCAGGGTGAGGGGCCACCCCCCGCCGCTGTGGGACCCGTACTGTTCAATATCTTCATCAATGATGTAGATATTGGGATAGAGAGTACTCTTATTAAGTTTGCAGATGATACCAAACTGGGTGGGGTTGCAACTTCTTTGGAGGATAGGGACATAATTCAAAATGACCTTAGCAAGTTAGAGAAATGGTCAGAGGTAAACAGGATGAGGTTTAATAAGGAGAAATGCAAAGTGCTCCACTTAGGAAGGAACAATCAGTTCCATACATACAAGATGGGAAGCGACTGTCTAGGAAGGAGCATGGCGGAAAGGGATCTAGGGGTCATAGTGGACCACAAGTTGAATATGAGTCAACAGTGTGATGCTGTTGCAAAAAAAGCAAATATGATTCTAGGTTGTATTAACAGGTGTGTTGTAAGCAAAACTCGTGAAGTCATTCTGCCGCTCTACTCTGCACTAGTTAGGCCTCAGCTGGAGTACTGTGTCCAGTTCTGGGCGCCACATTTCAAGAAAGATGTGGAGAAATTGGAAAGGGTACAGAGAAGAGTGACAAGAATGATTAAAGGTTTAGAGAACATGACCTATGAAGCCAGGCTTCGTGAACTGGGCTTGTTTAGTTTGGAAAAAAGAAGATTAAGGGGGGACATGATAGTGGTTTTCAAATATCTAAAAGGGTGTCACAAGGAGGAAGGAGAAAATTTGTTGTTCTTGGTTTCTGAGGACAGGACAAGGAGTAATGGGCTTAAAGTGCAGCAGGGGAGGTTTAGATTGGACATTAGGAAAAAATTCCTAACTGTCAGGGTGGTCAAATATTGGAATAAATTGCCAAGGGAGGGGGGGGAATCTCCCTCTCTGGAGATATTTAAGAACAGGTTAGATAGACATCTGTCAGGGATGGTGTAGACGGAGCTCGGTCCTGCCTTGAGGACGGGGGGCTGGACTCGATGACCCGTCAAGCTCCCTTCCAGTCCTAGGATTCTATGATATGATTCTTACTGGCCTTTGTGCCTCCCCCGCAGCTCCAGGGCGCCCGGCGGATCTGCTCTGTGTGTCTTTGGCCAGCAGGTAGCAGCAAGAGCTCAGCCTGACTGCTCCTCGGACTGGGCTGCTGTGTTTCCTAGGACAAGGGCCTGTTTTAATTGGGGAAAGCAAATCATATTTCAGCTGGAGGCTTTAGTGCCAAGTTAGCCGAGGTGATGTTAAGTGCTCAGTGTAAACTAAAACAGGCTGTTCAGTATCCTGTCATCTCTGCCCACCAGGAGACAAGATGCTGAACACAACTTAGCCTGGTCCCTACTGGCCTGGCTGGCTCAGCATTTTACCAAATTCCTTTGCTAAAAGAAAGTAGTGTGTGACTCCAGTGATGCTTCCTGATGACAAACCCTGAGGAAGTGTGATGGGTAGAGGATAAGGATGTGGTCAATGGGTCTAGGGACTGCATGTTTCTATTGTCCCACAAGAGGAAGAAGGTGCCTGGATTCTACTCTTGCCCCATAGGGTTACCATATTTGAACTTTCAAAAAAGAGGACACTCCTGAGAGGGGGTGTATCTGTATCAATATCTACTAAGGAAGTCGGTCTGGCCCACGAAAGCTCATCATCTAATAAACCATCTTGTTAGTCTTTAAAGTGCTACACAGTCCTGTATTTTGTTTCAGCTACACCAGACTAACACGGCTTCATTTCTATCACTATTCTCCCTCTCAGGAGTGTCCTCTTTTTTGAAAGTACAAATACATGATCCTACAACCCTGAGGTAGTGACCACTCTGGAGATGTGTTCTGGCTGCTGTAAATTGGGTATGAGGTTTCAGACCTGGGGCCCAGGGGGATTGGGCTGAGCAAGAGCCTGTTTATGCAGGCTGTGTCCATTGTTTAAGAAGTGTTCTGGTCTCACCAGCTCCCCACTGGGTATTCTCTGCAAATGCAATTGATGGAGAAGTTTAACTGTTTCTCTTGGTCATTAATGAAGATGTGAAATAAGATTGGAGAGAACACCTACACCACTTCCACTGCCATACACAACAACTCATCATGGAATTTTGTTCCTATTAGCATCACTCTTTGGTCATGAGGATCCTTCAGATACTCTTTGTTTTGATTTCCAGAGAGTGGTGATATTGTGGTGTTAGAGCAGGGCTACTCAACATGCGACCCGCGGCCTGTTTGTTTGCGGCCTGCAGTGCAGTTGTTTGTGACCTCCAGTGCAGGGCTACTCATCACGTGGCCCGCGGGTGGGAGCCAAAACAAAAAAGTAATCCATAGAATGGTCTTCTGTTGGAAAGCATTTTAGTAGTTAAATTCCTGGACTGTCATTACTCATTAAAAGTGCTGTCATGTGGGTGGAAATCGGGTCAATATTGCATTTTATTAATAGCAGCAGAACTGACTTCAATGGGGCCTGCATGTTCTCTGGTCTTGCCTTAAGCTTTGTATTCAGGCCCGTCAGTGTGAAATAAGTTATTTGCATGTATATGCAACTACACTTAAGTTGCGGCCCATGGCATGTGCTGTGAATATCATTGTGGCTCCCGGGGCTTCCAAAGTTGAGTAGTCCTGTATTAGAGGTCACTTGGACAGCCATTGTAAAGCTTGAGGAAGGTCATTGGCACAGTCCCATGCAGGGCTGGATTAAGGGAGGGGCTAGCCGGGCAGCTGCCCGGAGTGCCAACCTATGGGGGGGCGCCTGATGGCAGCTGTTAAGGGGTGCTGTGTTCGCGGCCGCGTGGTGCTCCTTAGAGCTGCAATCAGGCACCACGCGCCCGAGGCTGGGGGCCGTGTGGTGCCCCTTAGAGCTGCAGTCAGGTGCCGCGCACCTGATTGCAGCTGTAAGGGGCGCAGCACACCGGGGGACGGGCCTGCGCATGTGCTGTGCACCCGAGGCGGAGCCGTGCGCCTGTTGCCTGGGGCACAGGAATGGCTCGAGCCGGCCCTGGTGCCATGGTTCATGAATTTGATGTCAAGATTCGTGCCAAACAACTGCCAATTTTCCAGACTCAATGTATGTGAGTTATTTAAGTTTGTAGGTGTCTCTGTGCTTGAAATTTATGATGAAATAGCAATTTTTTATGATTTTGTGATGTTATTGCTTGATATTTACCTCAATTATTTCCAGCACCTTTATATTATTGTAATTTACCAGTATCATGACCAACTTTTATTATTAGAGAGCAGGCCTGCAACTGAGGTTAATTAGACAATCACCTTCATTTGTGCACATTAATATGCAATGGCTGCTTGCAGGCTAGCACACAAGGTCTGAAGATATGCATCTTGCACTCACCTTCTGGGAAAACTAGCCCTTGTGAGCCAATTATCCACATAGGAAATGTCATACAAGGCTTACATCTTCAGGGACAGCACCACTCCCAGCATTGCCTTCTGAGAGGCTGAAGTGTCCTGAGTAGAGCTGGTGGAAAGAGCTGTGGCAACTGGGAGTGGTGCAGCCTGGCCCCACCGATTGCACTGCTCCCAGCTGTGGGGTTCAGCTAGCCAAGTGGGCTGGTACCGGGGCACTCTGCTTCTTGCTGCTGTAGTGAAGCATAGGAGCAGGTTGCTCCATTTCCCACAGCTCCCACCACTGCTGGTGAGTGCAGGGATGGGCCTGACCTCTGCTGCCAGCACCAGCTTCCCCTTCGCCCCCCCAGTTGTCTCCCAGGCCACCCACCAGTGGCCACCTGAATCATCCTATGTACCGGATGGCTGTGACTGAACAGTTCAGCTATAGTCCACTTTTGGACTAGGTTGCTTCACGTAGGACTAAATCGAGTCTTTCCTCTCCTTTCCAGGACTAGCTGCTTCAAAAGCAGTCATTAATGGAGTGTGGGTATTTTATGTCTATCACATTGTGAGTGGACCTGTACCCAGTTAATATGGGGATAGCCGAAGTCCTCCATTATTATGTTTTCTATTTGTGTAGCCTCTCCAATCTCCCTGAGTATTTCACAATCACTGTCACCATCCTGGTCAGGTGGTCAGTAATATATCTCTATTGTTATATTCTTATTATTAGAGCATGGAATTCAAGCATGGAATTTTGCTACTCCCCCACCACAGCAATGTATATATCCCTATATGTATCCTATATGTATTGCTATGTCCCATTGATCACCATTGTTCCACCAAGTTTCTGCGATGTCTATTCTATCACTGTCCAGTTGCACATTCTGCTACATGAGCTAAATCTATCATATGTCCATTCTTGCATACGTTACAAGGAGAAGGGAGTGGGTTTTAGTGTGGATTTTTGTGTTACTAAATATGTACTCATGTTGCTAGTGGTTGAAATTAGAGTAAGTCATGTCAAAGACATTCTCCTGGTACTGAGAGCCGAAGGCGGGGAGGTCTGGGATTGTCCTTCGTTCCTGGAGAAGTTAATTTCACAGCCCTGAGAAAGCTTCATCTCCCACTCGGATGAGCTTGTCCCTGATTGTAGAGAGCTTCACTGGGCCAGAGGAATGTTGTGGTCCCCCAAGGCTCTTTCTGTATAGGGCTGAGGCTCTACTGGAGGGTTAAGGAAGCAATAAGAGGAAATGGAGAGGCTTATGTCAGGCCTGCTGATTAAGGGAGTGGGTCCTTCATTTGTGAAGTGGAGCCACAGCTTGGAGGCCATGTTTGAGCTTGACTGCTAATGGAGTCCCAGGGAGCAGCGGTGCTAAGAGTGATTCTTCTAATGACACCTGGCAAGATGAGGGTGATCATTTCTTTTGGATGAAGAGACGGCTACCGTTATACGTAGCTTTGGGTACATCTACGCCGCAGGGTAAAGTGGAATTAAGATACGCAACTTCAGCGTATCTAAAGTCGAAGTAGCTTAACTCGACTTTTGGTGCTGTCTACCCTGCAGAAAGTTGAAAGAACACTCTCCCTTTGAATTCTCTTACTCATGAAATGAAGGTTACAGAAGTCGGAGTAAGAAGAAATTACTTTGAAATAACGGGTTTGTTCTGTAAATGTGCACTCCGTTATTTTGAAATAATGCTGCTGTGTAGACATGTCCTAAGTGACATCTAGACTAGGCTGCTGTAACATCCTGTTTGTGAGGCTGCCTCCTAAGGAACCCAGGGAACTGAAATTGGTGCTTAACATTGCTGCTTCATGTCAAGGGGTTATAACGCTACACAGCTCTGAACAGGCTGCTCAGCCCTTTGTGCACGGAGACTGAGGAGATGGTTTTCAACTCTAAAGCTCTGAATGGTTTTGGACCCAGTTACCTAAGACATCTTTCCCCATGTGATCATGGTGACATTGCATCAGCAGCCTTGCTGCAGCAGGAGTTCTTTGACTTTCGATGCAGGGTGGTGCTGGCAGGGCATGCTCAGCAAGGGCCTCTTGGCTCTAGAGCTTGCTTCTCCTTTGCCACATCAGATCCCGGCTTTGTAGATCTCCCTGACATGCTGCCAGCCCCATCTCT